AATAATTAGTAGTTAATTTAAAAATATGTATCTAATTATGTGTTGAATTTACTAGTCAGGAAATTTTGGTCATCCAAATATAAAAAAATAATAGGGTACTACTTACACTACATGAAATCATTTACAAAATATAGATTCTACGTTAAACGATACCTATTAGATTCTACGCAGAAAACATTGTCTAAACTTACTTTATATATTTTTTTTAATATTTGAAGGATTCCAATAAATATTTAATTTAAATGAATTATCTATATGTTTTTTAAATAATGTAAGTACTGAATAATACTGATCGTATAAGTTTTATAATCAATATTTTTAGAGATAATAGACATTTATTTATAATATACTAAATATATCAGAGATCGTATTGCCTATGAAAGAGGTCACCAAAGGCCTGCGTAGCATATGTAATATTATCTTATCTATGGTAACATAGAACATAATTCGAAAGGCGCCTGCGCATAAGAGCAGGTAATTTCATCACCATTGCAGTGTTATTAAATATCTTTAAAATAGCCTTGAGTTGCCTCTACAGAAAATTAAAATATCTTTGCTCGTTATTGCAAATAAAAAAACAAGAGAAATTAAGTATTCGTATCTTGCTACTTGGATACTTAATAATTAGTTCAATTAATTTTATACACATAACGTATCTACAAGCTGTGCCAAATGTTGACGACTTCATTCCGTTACACCGCTGGAGTTTGAAAAAGCAAGCGTCTAAGGAGGCGAGGGGGGGTGCGGGCGGCGGGGGCTCTTATATTTTAAGATGGCTTCCGAGCGCGAATATCGACGCGCCCCCGCCTCCCGCGCGCCCTCTTACCCCCTCGCTACTTACGCGGTGGAATTTTGTTGGCACTGATTTGTGCAAAATAGTGCTGCGCCGCGCCTTACAAGTGTATAGGGGTCCTTACTTTATTACCATGTTCTGTTATTCATGTAGAATTTCCGATAGATAAATGATATTGAATTAGCTATATCCAATCTTTGTTTTTCTTATATAACTAGTATATAATAGTTTCTTAAGATATTAGTTACGCCATTACAAACTGTATTATTTGTAGGTAAATTGTGAAGGTTTTTCATATATTTTCTCTATTTTTGTACGTCTGAAATAAAATAGTAAAGACTTGTCGAGGCGAAAACTATCAATTTTTCAAATTCATTTTTTCTCAGAATATAGTAGGCTAAAGTTAGAAAAAATACGGGGAAAATTTCAAAGAGTAATTAATATTGTGAAAATTTTCAATACGCTATCTACAAATGTATTAATTTTGTAAACAAATAATAGATGAGGTCATACAGATGCTTTATTTATTTATACCTAAAATTAAGAAAACCGAGGGTACTTACAGTACTTGTCTTATTATTATTGATTTCCTGATATTTAGACAGTTACAACCGCCATGACTTTTGTAAACTGAAAAGTAGCTGGTAGATGGTAAATAATATGTAATTTTAGATATACTAACATAGGCTAAGTACAATTGTTACTAACAAATTGGATCTCTGTTATCTGAATAAATAAATTTAAATTAAATTAAATTAAATAAATAAAATTATGAACAGATATTCGTACTTTGTTTGGTACTACTATTGAAACTCTCTCAAAACTAGTTTATTTATTGTGGTCGTATGATCACCATCTATAAAAAGCGATTTAAAAATGTAGGTATACACGTATGAAGTCGCGGTCATCAATAGTTTGTAATAATATTTCTAAAAGTTCTTCATCCTTCTTCTATCAACTATGTATTGTGCATCTGTGTGCCCATATTTGTACCCAACTATTGTGCCCATAATTGTAAGTATGGGAAACCAATAGATTGACACAACCGACATTCTAATACTCTATAAAGTGTAATATTATCATAGCACTACTTTAAAAAGTCTACTTAAAATTCTTAATAGGTACTTATATAATACAGAAAAGCAAGCATCAAAATATAAATGTAATATATTTATCTACATAGAAATTGCATTAAGAGCAATTTTGTACGACGTTACAAAGTTATGTCGCACGACAATAATTTTGCAGCGTACATTTATGAATATGTACTTGGATTTTTTTTGCATTGTTAGTCATAATATTACAAACTACCTTACTTTATGATAATAATTTATTATCTTAAACTAAAACAAAATGTGAAAGATTGAAGACACTAATGTCTACTCAATCGTAATACGAAAAAATTATACAATTAAAGGTAAAGTCTAAAACGAATCATGATGAAAAAAATAATTATAAATTTGTTTAATATTATAGAAATAATTAGGTACTTAGTTAGTTATTAATTTTGACTATTACCAATTTATATTAATAATAATTTTATATTTAAAATCAATGAATTATTAAGAATTGTTTTAAAATATTTGGCATTGCATTTGCAAGTGTCATAGATTTGCTGCAATAGGTTTTGTCTATGAATTAATGCAATATACCTATTCATAACGTTGTTAAACATTTCATAGATATTTATTATTTATTATTAGATATATTTTTTCGTCAATTTATCACGAGTTTTTTTCATTTTATAAAAAGTGACATAATACTGTGTAAAGTAGGTTTGTAGGTTTTTGGTTTTAATTTAGGACATTACAAAATTTATTAGAAACGAACATTAGATTTCTTTTTTAAATACCTATCTACCTTATGTTAAGGCGTAATATATAATATGCCAAGGTCATTTACACGCCACATAAAAAAAACTCTAATTTTAAAATTATATCAAAACTAGCTGACCCGTGCTATTTCGCTTGAATCACACTTACATAACATTTATCATTATATTTCGCCCAATTTACATAATATCTTTTAAAATTATAGCCTATGTTTTATTCTAATGTATAAGCTATATGACTGTAAAGTTTCATCACAATACATTCAGTAGTTTTTGTGTGAAAGAGTAATAAACATCCATTCATACTCACATACTTTCGCTTTTATAATATTAATAATTAAAATTTATCTATGCAAATCGTGAATCGCGCTAATGAAATTTTTTCATCGATGCATTTAAGTCTATGTATTGATAATGTATTTGGTGGGTCCTTGCCTCTCTCCGGAAGCCAGTCCGCCAAGCTGGTTTAAATTGGCCACTTTCCGATGGGTCTGGCCCGGGCCAACACATCAAGAGTGGACTGATCTCATTGAGCTCGTTTGAGTTAGTCACATTCCAGGCCAGTAGCCACATGCCCTACGGGGAACGGAGGAGAAACGGCATACAACATCTTTGACCCGCCTTTTTTAATGATCTTCCCAACTGGCGGCCGTCGTGGTGTAGTGGTTTAACGTAGTGACTTACTTTCGGCTGGTTGCGGGTTCGAATTTTGCAGAATACAAAAAGTTGTAAAAATTATATGTCTATTTATTAAAGAAAGTAGCTACAATGTTATATTAATATATAATTTTGAAATAGTTAATTAATTTGGGATAAAATAGATGGCGCTGTGTGGCCATCATACCTACAATTCACAATTATTATTTCTCTGAGAGAATTTACTTTACAATTGGTCGTATATTTATTTAGTCCTAACAGAAATAATTTTTATTACTAGAATACATTTTAAAATTGTTTTGTGACATTTCAATTTTTTTTGAGGACGGTAGGTAGGTACTAAATTCTAACTAAAGCTCATGCAGGCATTATTTGATTCTCCAATTTCTTCATTTTTATAACTTATGTTTTAAGAACTATAAATAAACCTACAATATAGTATTAAAATTTAATGTTTAATACACCTAATACCTGAACTAAGTAGGTAAAGGTAAATATTTCAGATACTGGTCGTTGTGCTATGTACCTAAAACTTTAAATAACTATTCACCCTATTTGCCTGCAGTATAAATCATTCATTCATTTAATTATAATATTCATCATCATCATCATCGCAGCCCGGAAGACGTCCACTGCTGGACATAGGCCTATTATTATAATATTACCTATTCGAAATTATAAATTGAAAATTATATGACAATAAACAATTTTTTTGAAATTCTATTCATAAATTGTTATCATAATTTAATTGATAACTTTACAAAATAATTATAACTAATGTACACAATCAGTATGTAAAACATTGAACTATAATTTTCTCATAACATTAGTCTGTAGACTGTAGTACCCAACTACGAGTGTAACATTTCTAAATCGCGCTATCAATGTATTTCTCTCAATTACACAGATATAGTCGTATTAAACATGAGTATGACGGGTCGGCAGCTCACCGTAAACCAGTTCGCCAAGCTGGCCTAATTTGGCACTGTCCGATGGGTGTAACAGCCAATCTTCCTGGTGAGCTCTAGCCTACAGACTAACCAGTCAAAACTCGACCCACTTTTTTATAAACTGACATCAAAAAAATTGTGTAGAAATATTTCATTTCAACTAGGAGGAGTTTGTTTTTCAAATCAAGTCAAATCAAAATATCTTTATTCATGTAGGTCTATTACAGACTCTTATGATATTTCAAATCTACCGTCAGTTCAGAATACTGTCGAGTTGATGTAATAATGATGAATTAGGTTGTCCTCCACATGGGTCCCTGGAAACCATCGTGATAAATTCATGGTGAATTTACCAAGTTATCTAACTGGCCTGACCTTATGCTCATCTTATCATCCTCCACTAGTGCTCCGCCAGCGTAAACCCATTCTACTGCCATTTGGGAATACGGTCGTGAAGGTAAAACCAGGTACTTAATAGACTAGTGGATTAGATAAGGCTGCGGAAAACAGAGTCCAATTTACATTTACATTTGATACCAGTGGATACCCATTCATCGACTGCTTTTTTAGTAGTCTTCGTGCTACCGTAATGTCTATCTTCACATGAAATCTTATTAGGAACTGTTCAGCCGGCAGTCGTAAAAAGGTAACAATTAGACATAGACCCTTTCCCTTTTATAATATTGGTATAAATAATCCATTAAAATTATATTATCATTTTTAAATAATAAAACTTTCCAATAAAAACCTCTTTCTATGAGTTTATTAAATAAAACTAAATATTAAACAAGACAATATTTAAAATTACATAATTTGTCTAATGAATACTCTAAAATATCTATGTAAAGTTCAAAATTATATCTAAATATTAAATATTCTCTAAATTAAACATAACGTCTTAAAAATATCTATATTTCTATAAACGAGGCACTGTTTTGGGTACAGTACGTTTCTTTGTCATGGATAATTTAGCATTATTTGACATTAGACCCATTTCTAAAATTTCATCAATATCCCATAACTCCTTACAAGCTACCGGCATATTATTACCTTCTATAGAAACATTTATAATACCCTTAGGGTTTCTGCCATATGACTTCTGTAGTAGCAACACATCTAATAATTTCTTTACAGTAATAAAAGTTAGATTATTATACGCAAGATTTAAATAGGCAAGCATATTGTTACCGTAACATTGAACAATACCATCTGTAACAAACGTATTTATTCTACTAAATGGATCGTTAAATTCTCCAATCATATTTTCAGCCATAACTACGGCCTTTTCCATTAAGACTGCATCGAGATTAGCTAAACTTTTTGATTCAGGCATTGATTTTATTGATGATGATTGATCTACTCCCTTCCTCTTTCCAGTAGCAGTAGAGGCAGGTCTTAGAGTTTTTCTTTTAACAGGTCTCTTCTCAAATTCACTAGATCTTAAATCTTTTACCATTCGACCTATTAAGTCATTTTTATCTTTTAAGAACTTCATAAGTCTTGCCTTCGATGCCATTAACTCATCAGAAACTAATGGGAATTCCTTAAGACAATTTAATATGATTTCTGCACCATCGTCTGATATCATGTTATCAGCTAGATTTAGATAACAGAGATGTCTGTTAGATCTTAATGCTTCTGCTAGATATTTTGCTCCCAAATCGGATATTCTATTTGAAGATAAATTGAGTATAGACAAAGTTTTTGATGCCGGAAGAGGGTGGACTAGTGTAGCTGCAATAGTCTCAATGATATGGTCGTCTATGCTGCACCTTGATAATGATAGTTGCCTTAATACTGTACTGTTTTCAAGCAGAATATGATAGTTGGCATTTTTCAATGCTGTGTCATCTAGGCACACCTCAGTAATATGCGCCACTGATAAAAGTTTGCACAATTCATAGACACCAAAATGATCTAATCCTTTGTTTATAACGACTGAAGTTAAGTACAATTGGTATTTTATAATTAGCGCTATAGTTTTGAAGATTACTCGTGGTATCTGTCTGTTCTTTTCGAATTTTATTTGTACTAAATTGTCTGAGTTGTCATATACAGCGAATATATTGACGAGGTTTTGAGTAGCTAGAGAGAGCTTCACAGTATCTTGTTTGTTTTCTTCTGAAGCTACGTCTATTTTGGATTGAATTGCCTTAGATTTGTTTTTTGCTTTGTTTCTGGAACGTTCCGACAGAGCACTGACGCTTACGTACTCATCTGTGAAAAGATTTTATTATTATTTAAATAATGGTGTACTGATCTCGCTCCAGACACATTCAAAATATTTAATAATTGCTTATATGTATATTAATACATGATCTGTTTTTTCCTTATCCCATTTATTTGGGGTCGGCACAATATGTTTTTCTCTTCCATTCATCCCTGTTCTCAGTCCTCTCGTTATCCATCCATCGTCCATCCATTTCTTTTTCGATCTTCCTCTGCCCTTATAACCATCCACATTCATATGTAACACCTTCCTTAAGATATTATATTCATTCCTACGCATTATGTACATGCTCATACGTCGACAGACGACTACTCTTTAACCTCTCCAACACCAGCGCCACTTTCATACTTCATCTAATTTGTTTATTCTTGATCTTATCCATTCTTGTCACACCACACATCCATCTCAACATTCGCATTTCCGCATGCTGTCGTCTTTCATCCGTCGCCTTTACGACTTAATTGCTTATATATTTATATTTGTGGAACAAAATAATGGTTGACAAAGATTTTTTTTATTTCTTCCTTTTCTTTTCTTTATTAATAGATAAACTCACGTTGTACAATCTTAGTGACCACAACTTTCATTTCAACTTGCAGCTGTTTGCAAGCCCATGGTAAATATCGCTCGAACTGGTCAGGGTTGGGTCTACATTCTTTCTCTTCCTCCGCAGTGAGGATACTGGGTTTGTTCATTACTATCAAATATGTAAATCCTATAAAATAACTCCAACCAACTCCAACGGGAAAGGCGTTTAAATGTCATTATTTTTTTTTTATAATTTTCTTTTTGTCAAATAGTAATAGTAAAACCTTTAAGGTACCTATGAAAAATTAGAAAAGTTCTAAATTATTTAATATGCTTAGATATAAATTAACTTATTGATTTTATTTAAGCATTATATATATCTAATAAGTAATAATTTTATATTACCGTTATTTATGTGAACTTCATAGCAAACAGACAGACAAAAAAATCTGTCGGTCTGTTACCACTGAAATGACTATCACATAACTCTCGTCACTCATGCGGTGCCATTTCGATGAATTAACAAGTATGTCATGCCTTCGTACTCGATAATGAATACCATATCACATCTTTCAAAACATTCTGCTTCTCGCCTGAATTAGGTGAGACGGGGTACCCACGTAGACCAAAGTCTACATTGATTGTACAATTTCAAATCCCCTCTCCCTCCCCTCTTATAAGTAGATGATTTTGACCTCGGTGGTCTAGCGGTTTAGCACACCGGTTTACATCCGATGGTCGCGGATTCGATTCCTCGCACGGTACAAACATTTGTAATCTTGAATATTGTTTATATCAGTCTGAGTGTTTTCTTATTATGTATGTGATTACAAAAAGAAATGTATTTATGTCAGTTGTATAAAATCAAAAATCATTTATTCGTGTAGGATATCTTAACCGCTTATGAACGTTAAGTTTTTGTATGACTTGCAGAACCGAGACATAAGGGAAATTACTCGCAGAATGGACTACCCTAGCATTGTAATACCGACCCTTAATATTCTGGAGCACGGTGAAGGTTTCCAAGCGGTAAGGCTTTATAACTCTATGCCCAATAGTTTAAAGAGGGCGTAAGGGAACTGTTAGTAATGTGGACTAATGATCCTATTGCTAGCAATGTACCATGTCAGGTCGACCTCCACGCGGTTCCCCCTGGAAACCATCATGATAAATTCCTGGTGAATTTGGGTCACGATGGGCTAACTGACCTGACCTCATGCTCATTTTATCATCCTTCACTAGTGCCCCGCCAGCGTAAACCGTTAGCGCAGGCGGGCGCACCATTCCATTACCGGATCCACCGGACCCTTATAAAATGCTGAATCTTTTTAAGGGTCTAAAAACCTATGAAACTCTTTAAAAGACTTTCAACAAAAAAGAACACAACCTTCCAGCAACCTACTCAGGATGCACTCTTTTTTGTTGGAACAGTCTTTTTATACTATTGATCAATTTGTTAGCATCAAAAATTTTAAATTCAAATAAAATATAAATTGTTACTGAATAAATAAATAAAAAAAAAACAATATTTTCCTAGCCTGGGACTAGATGGCGTTGTGTGAATTGTCGTGAGGTATATTAGTATTGCTATTGTTATATATTAGTTTCTTATACCTCTATATGTTATAAAGGATATACGAAATCGACTATAATATTACAAATTATGTGTAATTATGTAAATAAGTAGCGAGTTATCACGCAGTGCCTCCCCCTCCTCGGCCCCCCACCACCCCGCAGTCACCCCAAGGCGCCACCCTCGCGAAACTACCAGCAATATTATAACTTCGTGTGCTGGCTGGCTAAAAAGTATGGAGAGTGATGGAGTAAAAAGTATATTTATATCGTCTTGTCATTTACTAATAACTATTATTAATTCAAATTCAAAAATCATTTATTCATGTAGGACATTATAGCCGCTTATGAACGTCAAGTTTTTACATCATATATATTTTTTCCCTACCGTCCAGTTCGGTATATATTATAGATCCAATTGAGAAGAACTGGCAAGAAACTCAATTGAAATACTTTTTCTTTAAAAGCCAGTTTATTTACAATGTATAGGTATTTATATAGGTGTCTATGTCTAACATTAAATGAAAATCCCGTACAATTACCGTTGCTATGCTTAAATCTCAACACTATTGTAGGATTGAAATTGTTTTTGAAAGAAAGAAATCACTATTTTAATATTACGTTTCGACTAAGTTGCAATGGTCGTGGCCACGAGCTGACTGCAGTACAGCTATGTTAATATCGTTAGGTTCAATCAGATTTTTGAACTACCGTCATTAGATTGTTCAAAGAAGAAAAAGAAACAACTGCTGGCATTTACCGATGACATCGCTGAACTGCAGTCACTCTAGTCAAAGACGGTTAATAGTGTTTATAAAACACGTCTCTTTACAGATGATCAAAAGAGACATATTTCACGTAAACTAACTTTCTGTTAAAATTTTACTATTATTCCACGGATTTTATTTTCCAAAGACATGTTTATAATTTAATTAATTTATTATAATTAAGTTTATAATTATATATTTATAATTATGTCATTACTGCATACTTTGATGTCCGCCATTTTTAAATGATAATTAATTATTATAAAAAGGCTCTAAATAAAGCACACACGATTGACGGCGCGAGCTAGCGGGTCGTGCTTTCTTGTTCTCTTTGTCTCAACTAAAAGAACGTACGTGGAAAGGCAGACAACACAATAATTACATATATATATTGTTATAGCTAAAATATATAAAAGAAAAGAAACATTATTAATTTATAATTTCAAATTATAGTCGAAGAGCCGACTCCACACTCGCGCGATCTTTACCGCGCTCGCTAAGAAGTGTTCCCAGCGACGCCGCCATCTTGAATCTCATCTCAGCCTTACCACGCTCGTTACTTACGTACCGCGAGATAATGTATTAAAATACCTATACTATTCTAAGGAGATGTATACCACGCCTTATGGGATGTGCCTACATAATTTATTTAATCTCGTGTTTGACGAGCGCGATGTGGAATGAATGTAAGAGTAATACGGGTCCTATTTATATATGTTACATTACAATATGTAACATACAGATAGATATAGATCCAATGAGATTGCTTAACTAAAGCGATAAGGCTGTCGATTTGTCAAGCACTTAGATTATTATAAAGATATTTTTTTTACATTTATTATTTCATAAGTGTGTTGTTTATTCTGATAAAAAAAAATTAAAATAAAATAGCATAATACTTGTTTTTTATTTTTATAACCTAGAAAAATTAGAGTTAATCTGAATCATTCTTCTCGTGATGAGTATGCGTTCCGAATGAGCGGCAGAATCAATAAAATAGGTACCTAACTATGGCTATTCAATAGTGCGTAAGTATATTAAGTTTATTTGAATAAAAGTTATTTCTTTTCTATTTCTTGGGACAAGATGGCGCAGTGTAAATTGTTCTTGGTTATTATTATTGTTATCGACTCGTAGCGAAATTAGGGCCAACTTCTCATAGTCTACGGGTCCAATATTGTCCCTGATTTGAGACCTGTGTGTAGCCCATTTATGCCTCGCACAAGAGTCGAATGCGCGGCGAAGTGCGAGCCGCGTTCTAAATCATTTGTACGTAAGAATGGGCCGCAGTTACTTGCCTAGTTCGTTCGCTTTCAATCTAACTTTGTTCCACGTTATGCTTTCTTGACAGTTAGGGTTGTCGACAGAAACATTTTTAAATATAATATAACTTTTTTAAGGATAATAAAGTATAACAGACTCAACGTATCTGTGTATGTTTGTATGTATTGTATATACTTATATTATTTTTATACTTATATGATTTGATGACCACGATCTTCCGGTTTTAACACATCTCTTTTTTCCGATGGTCGCAGATTCGATTTGTTGCACGGTACCGATTAGCGTTGCCAGACGTCCCATATTTCCCAGGACGTCCCATATTTTAGGCTTAGTTTATAATGTACCAGCGGGACTGACTGTCCCGTATTCGAATTGTGCTCCATTTTTTATTATTAATTTGATCGTTCATCACCGTAGACAACTTGTCTTTTAATAATTTGTCCCGGGTAAAAAATAAAATTCCCGTATTTTTTTGTTTATTTAAGCGTTCGCCCCTTATAGGCTGAAAAAAAATCTGACAACTCTAGTATCGATACATGAATATGAATGTATTCATGAGTATGTATTTAAAAAAAATTATTTATATCAGCAATCAATACCTACAAACGCATAACACAAGGTCTGCTTAGTTAGGGTTATTATATTATTATTATTTATATAAGGTCTCTCTTCAAATCTTGAATGGAAGAGACTAGACTAGACTAGACTAGACTGTAAAACGGTGTTACATATGAATGTGGATGATAAGGGCAGAGGAAGGCCGAAAAAGAGATGGATGGACTGTGTGAAAGATGATATGGTAAGAAAGGAAGTAAATAACGCGATGACTGCGAACAGGGATGAATGGAAGCGAAAAACATATTACGCCGACCCCAAATAAATGGGATAAGGAAGAAGCAGATGATGATGACTGTAAAACGCGTCTGCGTGTGTACCTAAGTCTCACCAATTTCAGCCGCCAAGCAGATTGCATTGTAAACGATATTTCGGTTGTACGGTTCAGATTAGGTAGGTTAGTTACATAGCTGTTCACGCGACTTCGTTCGCGTGGAATTTAACTTTATTTTTCTAAAATAAAAGTAGCCTAAGTTACTCCTTATTTACATCAGCTACCTGCCAGAAAAAGTCCCGTCAAAAGCAGTCCAGCCATTTCAAACATTAGCCGGAACAAACAGACAGACAGACAAACAGACAAAAATTGTAAAACATGTTATTTTGGTGTATGTACCGTATTTATATTCATATGCATGTAGTAAAAAACGGTTATTTCAATATTACAAACAGACACTCCTATTTTATTTATATGTCTACATACATAAGTAAAGCATTAGAGATGAGACATTTGTTCTCTGGAATGGCAACGCATGAGTGGTGATAACGGGTCTCATGGTTGCGTGGAGGAAATTGCTTAATAAAAAATTAATTAATATATTCCTGGCCACTTGGAATGCTTCTTCCAACCAAAACTGTCAAAGTGTAGTGTAAATCTGTGACTGAATAGAGGCCGGATAGAGAATTGAAGGTTGGACCTTGTTTAGGAGAAGTAATCTAAAGCTGCTCCATTAAGGTCTTACACAGTGTCGTTACCGCTAG